GTCCCGTCGCTTCGTGGCCGGTCTTATATATACCAGACTACCCCCAATCTAGTAGTCTCCCGATAATTCACGAAGGTTCGAGAAGGACGTGGCGTGATACTAGTCACGTGACCTCGCTGACGCAACAATATGTTAGTTACTACTGATACAATCTGAAATATTTTACAGAAGAAAATATTATACTGAATAAATTAACTCACCTCAACATGCTACCAAAAATTGTTAAAACAGAAGTTACTTTAACTTCCTAGACTAGTTACATTTAACAATTATACATATTTATTAATTTATATGACCAAACGCTAATTCTCAATGCTGCATAATGACAAACTCCATCTTTGAGAGGTTTGCTAAAACTTTATTCTTGCAGCACCAATAACATTTTCCGGTGTCATTTTTGTCTCTATATCCCGCTAACCTAGCATGCAAAATAGAAACTATATAAAGCAAATACTTTGTTGTTGTTGTTGTTTTTATTTTATTATTCAGACCCAGTAAAATAATTAATAATTCAGAACGTGATAATAACTTGTAAATTTCTACTTCAACATTTAAGTCAAAGAAACATTCTCGAAAATACTGAAATTTATAAGCTTTGTTTATTTTATTTACACAAGCACATAAAATTGTTAGTTTTAGCAAACGAGACAGAACTTATGGTACCCGAATACATTAGATGAGCTTGAAGTAATTTAATACGTTTTACTTTAGTTAATTTGCTGTCTGAAAATTGATATGAAGATATAAATGGTTCTACGAAGCACACGCATTAGTGAACCCATATTTAGAAAACGTAAATAAGGTATAACACATGTTTAATTCTACAAATTTTACAATGTTATTAAGAAAAGAAAGCTTTCATTTAAACTGAATACAACCAATACAATCTGTGGCTCCTAAAACACATTAATTTTAGTCAATAATCAGTTCACTAATTATGATTTAGCCTCAGACTTTCTTTCACCTAAAACATTAGATTAAAGAAAACAAGGAAGTTTTGGACGGATTTTCGATAAATATTATAGCTACTTCATCCGCTTAATGTCAAAATGAGCACTTCATGTGCTTTAAACACATTGTGGTAAGTATCATGTAACACGGCAAACCATGTGATAAGCATTCTGTGAGTGAATATTTTGTTGTTGTTTTTTTCATTGTATAAACATACCACCAATGCTTTTTCTTGCTATGAAATTTTAAAGGCACAAATTTAATATACACCTTATATTTATGGAAGTTGCCGTTAGGTTTTACTATAGTGCATTTTTATTATTTTAAATATAACGTTTACTATTCGCTTTTTGAGACATTGATAAGTTGGATTAGTTATTTAAAATATCATCATATATTTATGAGTCTTTAAAATGGTAATCCGAGAACCCACTTGCGAATATTAAATGGAAAATAATAATTTTTATATTTCAAATTTATTTTGTAGTTTCCAGCGAAAGTATGTTTATTATCGTTCTTTATGTTAATCTTCATAATAATAATAATAAAGTACTTACTAATTCAATTAAATTGTAGGCTTTAAAGCAAAAGAATTTTGAATTATCTATCCAGAGTAGTTTTCAAAGCACAAACCGTTGGAAGTCCGTGTGGAATACAATATATTAACTCTTGGAAGAGTACATATCTGCAAATGTAGCACAAAAAGACTGGACGACGTTTTGAAACTGTCGCGCGAAGCCTTTCAAAAGGTCGTCCAATCTACCCATGTTACTTCTGAAGATCTTTATTCTTCCAAAAGTTCCTCTAATATTGTTGTCCTGAATCACGCAGTTGTCGCTTTTTTCTCCTTTGTTTCGTCCATCAAAAATGCATGTAATTCGACTGATATTAAGCAAATACTTCAGTCCAATAGACTACACTCACTACAGTATCTCAGTTCAAAAGTAAAGCTTCAAAAATATCAAATTTTAAATAAAGATAACGAATCTGCAAGGCTTTAATTTATGTAATAGACACACACCATTTGCAGTTTAATTGATACTTCTTACTTGTGACAAACAATACATATACATAAGTAACTTTTAAATCAGCGTTTTAATAAGAAAACCGCATCGTGAGTTGGCTTGGTATTCCGCCTCCAGCAGCTCGACCGATACCCCCTGGGCTATATCAGGACACTGAGACCTGATGGCGACAGCAAGCTGCAGCTTTAACAAAGCTACACAGCGCCTCAGGTGACTTTCAAATCATAAGAGCTTTTGCACCGCGAGAGGCATTTATATACACTTGAAATCGTAGTTTTCACCTCACATTCATCAGTTGAGAAAAATTACTACAACCTGACGATCTACTAAAGTTACTCTCAGCATTTCACTGGGAGGAGTTTAGTCTAAAAAGAGTAACTTGTCGTTTATTTGCGCAATGATCACCTTAAACACCGAACGCGCCAAAATGTCTAGACACTCGTGTGAGCATACTCAGCCAATGGTTACCACGAGGAGACAAATCTGCCCCATCCCTCACACCGTGGGCAAGTCTATTCAGAAATATTGAAGCTTCTTGACAAAAAAAAAAGTTATACTTTATAAAATGTTTTCGTAATAAATTTTACATTTACAACAACAACTTACAAATATGGCAACATGAATTTACTGAACTGGTGAGAAAATATTTTTGGATAGTCAAAAAGAGAAAATTAGTTTATCCTTGTGATAAGTATTAGTACAACCCTCCCCTTCGGGCGGGTCTACTACGCGCAGCAGTTATTCAGGTCTCACACGCTGCGCTGTTAATAAAATCAAGCTATATAGTAAGAATTAGAAATATCGCATGCAATACTGAAACTTGAAAGTGTGAACGTTTGTAGCAAGTGAAGTTTTATTTATTTGACTTGTTTATCAGCTAGCAATTCAAGCGCATGTGTGTAATGAAGATTGCCGATTTAATCCATGAGATGTGAAAGTTTTATGAAATCTTAAACGGTTTTTAGATATGTTTACGGGGCGTGGGCTAACAAGCCTGTTCCATTTAACTTCTTGTTGAATTGTGAAACACACAGTAGGATATTTGGAGCCGTGTCGTTAGCTGATATTACCCCGGTTACCAAGCAACTAGTGATATTTGGTTTTGAGTGTGTGTGTGAGATAAGCCTTATTTAAGACACGGGATTGGATGCCACTACGAGTTTCGAAGCAGAAGACTCGCAGAAATTATGCTGCGCGTTCATGTTTCGGCCTAAGCGGAACACTTTAGTGAAACGGCTGTGGAAACAACGGATATTAAACTACTTCGCCGAAGATGAAGCCTCATGTTCGCTGGAAAACCAAGAAGATCTGGAGATGAAATCTGCAATCCATTCAATGTTAAAAAGATTAAAGGAGCCTCAGCTCGAGAGGCTCGTACAAGCTGTCGAGACTCATGGAGCAGATATATCAGGGTGCGTACTGGTTCCACGCGGAGACCTGCGTTTTGGAAGACAAACCTCGGCGCCACACGTGCTTTGCTGCCGATTGTGGAGGTGGCCTGATATTCAACAACCTTTCGAATTGAAGAGGCTTAACTGGTGTCAAACTGTCAACGATCCCTTGTACATTTGTTGTAACCCCTTTCACTGGAGTAAACTTTATAAACCAGGTTAGCAAATACAAATCTTGCCAATGGAATTTAATTTTGACTTTTATTTTTAGTACTGTAGTTCAAGCTTCAAAGATGTATTTGTAGTTGTACATGCAGAAAAGTTGGTTATTTAGATAAGTTAACAATAACATGTTTTGTCTTCTTTTTTTCATGTTTTGGCAGACAGATAGCAAAAATATGCACAGTTTAAAGTTCTGACTGATTCTTGACAAACCATACATATCATGACAGTGTTCTAAATCAAAGTAAAATAGTGAATGATTGAACCCATACGTTTACAGCATTAGTTTGTAGTCATAGTCATAGATATGTAAATTGATCAGTTATCACAATTAGTGAAATAATGTTTAACTGTTGATTTATTTGGTCAAGTTACACAGCCCCAAAATATTTATTATGGCAAAAATCTATCATTTGCTTCAAAACTATGTTATTGTATTAAAATAGCTTCTATTAACAAATGAGGATACAACAACATTAGTGTTATTACATAATGTTATTAATACAGAAATTAGTTACATAAAAAAAATCGTACGGGTTCATAACAACCATACCATTGTTAGTCCTTGGGTTTAGATGTTATGTATGAGCCCCGCGTAAGACCCCTATTGAGTTCCGGAAAAAACGTACCAGCAGGAAGGGGGGGGGGGGGGTTAAAGGTCCCCGAATTGAAATTAATTCTCAGAATTATGAGTGTCTATCTTGTATATTAATATTATAACTGTTGCATTCCCCCTCTCTAGTCTTTTAGCAAAATCTGATAAAAAAAAAGATGCATCAAGTAATTAGACTCTTAATTTATATTGACAGCAAAAGAAAGAAAGAAAGAAAAAGTACGTGATACTGTAATTTCCCATCAAGTCACCACATTTGAATAATGTGAAATACAGTTTGATGATTTATGGATATATCCAGACTTTGGTGATAAATGGTATACTGCGTTCATCGTTTTCCCTGTAATCACTATCTACACTGACGCTCGAAATGATAACTCCTATCAAACAATATATCATCCACATCTAGTAGGCGATGATAGAGCTAAAATGTAGACCTACAAACGGCGTACCGAGACAACGTATTGGAAATAGCAATTTATCGGGGTTGACATTTTTTTAACGTTGTTCAACGCTATCAAAAATACAATATTTTGTTCTTCGTTTATAATGAAAGAAAAAAAAAAACAAGAACCGAGGATTATGAAAAAACTCGAAGGGCTGATTTTCGCATTAAACATCCGGTACATTGTTCTTTCTCCCATTGCCTTATTCACCCACATAGCGTAAATTTCGAATAAATAATTCTTGGCAACTAAGTTCACGAACTTGGTACGAATAGTGTATGTGAGAGATGTAATAACGTAATTATATGTTGTTTTTTTTAAATTGAAAGTTGTCGTGGAAACGCGTGTTTGGCGTTTGTATTATATAGTTTAAGATACAGTAAACTATTGATTTATCTCATCACAACTTAGCGGTACAGTGACAGGTAGTAGATTAATTGTACATAATCAAGTTATATATGACTGGTATTAAATGTATCATTTCCAGAGCATTTCCTGTGTAATACACATATAGTAGGTTATTGAAATATAACCACAATGTATAATGCACGTAATTTGTTTTTTATCGTTCAGACAATCTGTAATCATAGTTTCTTAATTAATTTTGGACAGTCATGCATCTCTTACCCGCCTTGCATATTTGTTCTAACTGAATTTGTAGGCTTAATTGAAATGTATTGTTACGTCTCTGATCGTTTGTTAATTCCCGTAAAAATTCTTTCCGAAGAACTTCAGCGATACAAGTCCTTTCTTAAATAAAACTAGTTTATTCTTTCTCAATACAACTTTGCAATACACTTAATTTCCACAGTCACTTTAACTTAAACACAAGCTATAATTCACAACGATTCACGCAGTTTCCTTGCCGTCACTAAAGCTCACTTGACTCGATTATCTGTCTCTATATCTCCCTATCTGCAATTATATCTCCGCTTTATTTGTCGGGCTTATATACTAAAATAGAGGGCGCCTAAAAAAGACTAGAATTGCCACGAACAGTCATGATTCTTCTAGAATCTCATGACGTGTTACTAGCGTCATGTGACTTCCGCTGTCGTAACAGTATTGACCCTGATTGGCTTGAACTTTAAAGCTAAACGTTTAGGTGCATGTGGTATGTAAGTAGTATGCATGCTACTTATGGAAAGTACCGGTTGGAATAAGAACAATACATTCACCAGCATTTTATGAAATAAAATAGTATTTCTTATATATAAGAAATACTAATTACTTGTCTTTATAAGAAAAAAGTTATCTCCACCTTTTGGAAAAGTTGTATGTTCTTGATATTTGTTTCTTTACAAGTTAAACATTTTTTGACAGAATTTTGAATTTTGGGACTAATTTGTCTCGTGCATATTATGCTGACTAAACAAATTAAGATAAATTATGACTGATTAAATCATAAGTTGAGCCTCATAATGCTCTCAGTAAATTGAGCTAGGAGCGCAAAGTTGTAGAGTTGATCTCGATGCCCCAGCCCTAACGCCTCGAGCTTGTATTACAACTAAGTGGCCCTGTGAATAGCGTAGGCAGTACTAAATAACGCCGCTTATTTTTTATATTGTGAAGGTTATTTTCCTTTTTCCCGTTAAATTGAAACCATGTAACCTTCATCATAATGAACAGAAAAAATATTTTAATGTGTATAGAACTGAGTCTAAATTATTATTTACAATTTTTCATTGTACCACAATGATTAAGATATATAATTTGCAGAATATGCAATTTTATATGGCATATTTTATTTTCTATTTTGTATCATAAGTAATAAAAATAGGTGACAGTAATAGTTAATGAGCTAAAATTAATAATAATTATTTATATAAATAAACTGCTTTAAATTATAGCGCAAAAGTTTAAACTAGTACTTTTTCGATGGGCGATCGTTAATGAAAATCTCGAGACCTTTCTGTTGGAGGGTGGAAACTATCCCTGACCCTTCTACCTATGTACACGTCCCACGTGAGGGGACTACCAGACGCCAAGTGTGCACCTATACTGCAATGTTTCTGAAAAAACAGCCTACATATATTACGTAGCCGAGTTAACGGAACGACTGCTCGTTCATTTGGATTATGGGTGACAGTAGTAATTAAAATTCAAGTTCGATGGCCGAATAGCCAGTCTATATTTTCTACCAGAAGAAAAGTGAACACACTTACTTTATAATTTCTTATTAAGAGCGTAATTGTGAATTATAAGTTAAAATGTAAATCATCGCAGACAAACGCGGAAGAAGTGCTAAAAATAACAACACTGCCGTCTGTTTTCAAGGCACAATTTTAATTTGTGATCATAACTGGTTTTAAATCTTGTTTGTTTTTCTCAAGCTCCTCCAGGTGTCTTCAATCACATTTCACAAAGTGTAATACATAGTATCACGGAGCTGTGTTGATGTTTAGTTGTCAATGGTCGATATGACATGCTTTTTTCACATAGCATAAGTGTCACCACCTATCAGATACTAGTAATCCATACCTACATTAGATTTTTCACTTGCTAGTCCAGGTTGGTATATCTACTTTCACGTACATTTATTTAACCAATTAACCTACACGTTCAAAAACTAAAATAACTGTAACGTCTGGCAAGTGGACTGGCTTGAAATGTTTTTTTTATTGTAATTTTTTTTAAAACGTTAGATTTAACGAAAACCATATGTTTACAACTTTTTAAGTATAGTATTACATAATGTTTTATTTTTATCACACCCAGTAGCATTAGCCATTTTCTACGTGTGTGTGTGTTTCATATCCTGTAATATCAAACAATATATTAAATTCATACCACCCAAGAAAGAAAGTGAAAAGCATAACTCGAGACCTTGGAATATGACGTAATTATAACTGTAGCTCAACATGATATTGGATAAAATTTACCAATTAAAACTTGTCGGCTTTTATGGCCTGATACACTCGAATATAAAGTAGTGCCGTGAATGTTGTTGAAGTTTTGCATTCTCTATTTATTATGGGTCACCTTAAAAGGTATTTTGTAATAAACATCAAGAGAACATGATCAAAGAAACATACCAACCATTTCGTATTACTTACCTCATATAAACAGCATATATATATATATATATATATATAATACTGGACTCTAAGAGGAACAAATCAGTAGGACGAAGAAGTTAAACTATTTTTGTTTAGTAAACGTAAAAAAC